GGTGCAAGGCAGTACTGAGGGATGGTATTAGCTCAAGAGATTATGGAAGCTGCTCTGTCCTCTCAGGATCTCACTTCTGATCAATTTATCACAAAGCATTCATTCAATGTGAACTTGTTAATGTCAGAGTAACCTGCAGTGAGGGACAGGGAGCTTAGTTAAGAAGTTTACTCGTTTTCCTGAGGCCTGCAGTCTCCCAAAACCTTTCTAGTCTACACAATTGTGGCACCATCCTTCCATACTGCATCAGTGTAACCACAGCAGAAAGAGCTTCCCTTTCCCACCCCATGCTGAAAATAAAGTGTTGATTTGGAAAGCTCTGTCCTTCCAGGAAGCTCTCAAAGTCTGCAGCCATTCCACAGCACATGCTGCTGCTTTGAGACTTCAGCAAGGGCAATTTTGTGGTTTGAGATCACTTCATGGGGATGCACAGTCCATTCCTCTCCTTTGCACCCAGAACTAGAAACAGGAAAAGCAATGCTGAAATGGCTCATTATTTGTACTTGCATTTGCAAAGTGAAGGCTCTTTGCAAAACTTTCCTTACAGAATAACTCCACCTTGCTGAACCAAGACTGAAGTAGTGTCCAGGTTTGTGTGTAGATTTAGTGTTCTTCAGGGCAGTCACAGACTTGCCCTCAAAGACCTGCTCTCCATGGTAGAAACAAGCTACAGTCCCTGAAGGTCTGCCCACTTCATTTACAAATCTGCATGCCTGTGTCTCTAGGGGTTGTTGACAATGGAGAAAAATAAGGGAAGTTGTTACAAACAACTTACTAAAAGCTATACCTCACCTGGTGGTATTTTGCTTCTAAAGTTACAAGGAGAAAGAGCAGTCCCACAGGGTCTTAGTCAAGTGCAGAATATGTAAGCTCTGGCCTGAGTGACTCACAGGAGGATTTCTAGCATCAGGAGCTACCAGACAGGGAACAATACCATTCAAAGTGATGTCTGCACAGCCCTTTCTGACAGCTCCCAACCATGGAAGTGCCAACTCTAAACTCTGGGCTAGGAAATACTGTCAGAGAAAATGTAACAAAAGATGGTCTTTAACTCCACCAGCCTGTAGTCCTAGCTCAGCATTAGGGTTCATGTACAACTTCCCTAGAAAGTTGCTCTGAACTGTCCTGTGCTCTGAAAGAGCTGGCAAATAGGGCCCTCTGGGACCTGCTTCTCACCTCCCTCTTTTCTTCTTCCTACCTTTCTCCTCATCAAAGGCTAAAGCACACAACCAATTACACCAGTCCTCCCAACAGAAAAATGGTCATGCTATCCAAGCTACAATCTTCCACAACGGTTTAAGAAAAAACAGGAAGAGAAATCTTCCTAAGATTACTTGTAGAAGGTAAAGAGCAAGAATGAAATCAGAATAGGCAAAAGAATGGGGTAAGGAGAGTAGACTAAAAAAAAAGTAGAGGAAAGGAAAGAAGAAAGGAAGAAGAGAAAAGAGAAGAGAAGAGAAGAGAAGAGAAGAGAAGAGAAGAGAAGAGAAGAGAAGAGAAAAGAAAAGAAAAGAAAAGAAAAGAAAAGAAAAGAAAAGAAAAGAAAAGAAAAGAAAAGAAAAGAAAAGAAAAGAAAAGAAAAGAAAAGAAAATAAAAGAGAAAAGGATTTGTACCTGCATAAGGCTGATCCAAGCTTGAGAAAGTAGAGTCCAGACCTGGAGAGCTGGGCATGTCACAAAGCCCGTTTAATTCACAACTCCCCATAAACAGAAAGAGAGGCAATGAGAGACAGGCAAAGCAAAGCTCTTCTGGAGCAGAACCAAAACTCTGAGATGTCCAAGCTCTTTGCTATCAGTCCACAGGCCTTTTAAAGCCTCTCTTTTGTCTCGTAGGCTTTGCTGCTGAAAGCCATGAGGTCACTTTGTCTATTTTTGTCTTCATAGCTTCATCACTGAACAGTGTGATGGACGTTGTCACCTGGCACTTAAACTTACTCCTTCCCCCTCCCTGTACTCCCTGTAAGGAGAAACTCCTATTTTTTATTTTAAAATAAGAAAATATACTCTATATTATCACAGCTTCTATGGTGTAAGCTTCAGGTTAGAAAGGTGCAGGCTTCAAGTTAGTGTTACCAATGCATTTCTGTGCCAAAGAGCCCCTCCGAGAGAAAAAACTAACACAGTGTGCTTGTCCAACATGGAGAGGCAGAAGAAACCTGCACAGGAGGAAAATAAGTTCCCTTGCCTGAAACTCTCAGAGAGCACTCAGCTCCAGGTTAAGAGGAAGGAAAGAGAGAGCAGGGGCTTTCCTGTGTATATCAATTTTCTTCCATGTCTGAGGAGAACCAGTCCTCGGTTCAGATTTCTGTTGTGTACACAACTGAGGAACATTTAACAGAGGAGCATTGGGATTCTGCAGTGAAGTTTTTAGCTGAATTAAAACAGCAGAGGCTGTTACCTACACTGAAAGCACTGAGGCTGTTACCTACACTGGTCGTGCCCAGGGAGGGTGACAGAGAGTTTGGAAACCAGGGAGAGGTGTTTTGGCAGCACCATTCAGAGCTCCAGCACAGGAGACTGAGAGGTGTTGAAAGATGAGATGCTGATAGTGAGGACTGTGGTGGATGGGAAGGAAGGGAATAGATGGTGCTGGGAAGTCTGTAGATCTCTGCAGTTGTGGCCTGCTCAGCATCTCTTCACACTTTGTCTAGTCCTGTCTTACCACTCCTTTCTGTACTCCAGCAATAGCTCCTGTGAGACAACCCCAGAGCTGTGGCCAAGGGACACCCTCCCATGACTCTCCCTGCAGCAGCCCCAGCCTTAGCAATTCTGTAGCCTTGGCAGACAATCTCCAGTGTTAGACTGGAAAAATGAAGGTCTGGCTATGCATGCTGAAATCCAGCAGCCATCACTGCACACCAAGAAGACAACTCTCACAAGGCAACACTGCTGTAGTGACAAGACCTGTCACGTGTCATACAGAGGCTCTTAGTGCAAGAGCAATGAAAGTGGTTCTTCTTCAAGCCTCTTCCTTGATGAATATTTACACATATAGGGATATATGTATATATACGTGTCTTTGGGGAAACCTTTTAATATTGATACATACCACTGGAATGAAAATACAGCTCAGTCTCTTGAAGGAACATTCAAATGGAATAGATAAAAGAGTAAAAGGAAGGGTTATAAAACTCTGATAAATTCTGTTGGTGTAGTGAATAATTTCTATAGAAAACTTTTTGTTAACTTCTAAAGCACTTATTTCATGTACACACTGAATTCTGTTGGAAAAACCCACAAAAAGGAAAAATTTCTATTAAGCAAAGCCTATGGAAGTTTTCCTCTTAACTAAGTTTCACTGAAGTGAAATTATTTTTGTTACCTAATTACAGTAAAGAGAAGTATAAAAAGTAAAAATCTTTCCAAGATCAGACCTTATTAAAAGAAAGCATTTTAATGCCCAGGAAAGCTACTGAACAAGCAGACTTACATGAGGTCAGATACTGTTCATGTTCTCTAGGAAACAAAAGCCAGTAAATTTTATTACCAAGACCGAATTCTAGAAAAGCCATTACTATAGAAAATAAGGTACTCTGCCAGTTCTAGAGATAAAGAGCCTGTTCCTCTGTGATGAAATACTACTTGTCAACTGCTTTTTTCATATGAGGTCACCTCGAATTTTGTTCTTCCAGCTATTTATGTTAGACAAGGTCATTTTTCCATGGCTAATGTTGCAAATATCTCAG